AACGATCATACAATGCACAGAATGATATAAAAAACTGCCCCGGACAAAAAGTTCTTTGTTAGCGACTGTGTTAATCTTTATTCCGAAAAAGAATAGAAAACGAGTCTAGAAGATTTCCCAGCAGTGGATAAGGATCCCGAAACAATAAATGACGCTTCGTAAGAACACTAAAATCCCAACTAATGGAGGTCAGTATCTTCAGACTCAAGTCCTTCTGAGTTAATGCAGCTGTGAAAAACAACTAACAGCGACTCTCACAAGTAGTCAAATTTCCCAATGTTTTAATCACACCAGTTGAACCGGTGAATCATTGCTCAACAATCCGCCACATTTGCTGACCGCATTTTTAATTAGTAACTTGGTCAAATTTACTTTACGTTCCATGGTAGTAATGTGCTTACACACTGCTTCGTGATGGTTATTGCTGGCAAAAGTCCTCATGCAAGAAGATGCGCACGCTACCTACCTGGATAGTTGAACTAAGACTTCATTCCACCCCGTCTCATTCACTCGACGATGTCTTCCCTTGTGTACTTCGTTCGAGTTTGTTACTCTGGGTTTTGAAGTTTTTACTAACTACTCTGCATCGACCTAGCTGACTCCTCAGGAATGAACGCCCAGGGGATATAGTTGAGACTTACTGTACGAAACCCATCAGATTGATGATAAAGTTCTCCTATATTCAAGTGAATAGATTTTCGTTGTGATATTAGGGGAAGAAATATCTGCCAAAAAAACTTTCTCATTCATTCAACTTCTGACCCATATGGAGTGTCGTAATAAAAATGAGTAAGACAAACGAGTAGTATTGTCATCACTGCGTACTAAGGGTAAACATACGTGAATTTCTGAATCATGTTGAATATATGATTCGGCACTCTTTAGCGTCGGATAGGAAACGAATAAAATCAAGGCAGCTTATCGAGAGGGTCCGAGTACATACTTTAAACACGAGACGTTATGCAGCGATAGCTTTATCACTCGAAAGAAATTATACGGTCCCACGAACTTGGACAGATGTCTTCAGCGCATACTAAAAGATGGGAAAGATTGTTTTGCCACTGATAACCAGGTGGAACAGGGCAGAAGTCTGAAAATGTTCACCACCTTCGAGTCGATAGTCAGCAAGTAGCACTATTGGGTCATTTAAATTGAGAAGCCAGTATGGGAACCGCAGTGGTGATATCTCTTGCTTACTTTAAAGTAGTACAGTAGGTAAATTTGAGGAGAAATGGACGTTTAGTAGCTCCTGGAAAGCTTCTGAAAAATAGTGTGATCTGCAAGTCTCCTTCAGTAAGATACCTCTGAAAGGAACTTTTAGGTTTGACCGTCTACTTGTTTCATTTCTAATCCGTAGGCTTCGACAAATAAGTTAGCTGGAGATCCATCCCTTGAACACCATTTAGATTCTTAAATTCTTTCACCATGTTGTTCACATGGAACACAAATTCAAGGGAAACTCGTGAGCGCCTGCCTGATGAGATTGAAAAATGGTAAAACCCATAACTGGTAATCGACGCCTTATCAGTGGCCTCACGTTTGGTGTGTTGCGTCGAAAAGAAGAAACAGTTTCTTTTATGACGTCTCCAAAAACACCTACTCCATTCTGCTGGCTGTCATTGGGATAGGTTTTCTGGTCTGTTGGAACTAAGTAACAAGCCAGTTTAGACTCCAAGTACAGTTGAAGAAACATAAAACTTCGGTTGTTGGTAACTCTGGGTTTCATTGTTTTGTATTCACTGTCTTGAGTAACCACGAAGATAAACAAAGAAAGGGGATAGAACCATTTATTATCTTTTCTCACGTAAAACTTTCCATCTGGAGACAGACGAATGAATGAAATAGGAACTGCATCAGTGTCTTTGGACCGTAAGCAACACAAAGTGCACATCACATGAAGCTTCTTTTGCCAACTCTTGACTTTCTAGCTTAGTTTTGAATATATTAGCTTTAAAAATTCATTGGCTGGACAAATCACTAAACTATATTTTCAATAGAATTCCCTAAGGAACTTCCAGAATAACAATCAACCAGCCAAGTTCGCATTCATCCAAGAGAATGGAATCAAATCTGAGGATATTCACCATTCAACTCGTCTCCCTCGTTATTTTCAAAGAAGCGTTTTGCATATTTCCTTCACGCAGGCAAGGAACGTCACAAGTTTGATCATTTAACGTCGTTCTTTTCTCGTTTCTGTCATTGACTAGCTCTCTGATTTGATTGATAACTCAGTCGCTGTCACGCGCCGTTGAACAAATCAGATGAATGGGCCATTATTCGACAGATGCAACGTCGCAGACAATTTGATTCATTCCGCCAGACAATATGTCAGTTCAATTCATCAAGACCTGTGTTATTCACCTATGTGAGATGCTCATCGTCTCCGTTTTGATGAAATATCGATTTTGTGTTCAAAAATGACCTTTGAAAGGAACGTACACATAATGTGTGCTTCTCGAACCGGTTTAATTTTATTCCTCCCCATTGCTCGTACAGGAATAGGTAAACATACATGTATCAATGAGCATAATATTAGAAGAGGACAACGGGTAGAATACTCAGTTCCTTACTATCAGTAACTGTGTGCACTGAAAAAATTCAGAGACAGAAATGTTGTAGTCGATCCAGATTGTCTTCTCCGCGTTGACTCAGCCGATCAAATAATTGTAATAAATTATGGAAGACTGGCGGATTTGATCATCGTGACTCACTTTTGTTTTACCTTCGGTGTCAGTCGCCTTTTGCTTAGTGTGCTCAAAGGCCTTTTAATGATTGCTTACAAAGGGACTCGTGAGATTACTTTTGTCTGCCGAAAATGTCTGTGTGGCACACTACAATGGCCTTTTGTATTCGAATTAAATCCGACACAGCAGAATAGGAACCACAGAATTCAGTTTCGAGTCCCGATACTGGACTCCGATAACTTATGTACCATCGGAGTGTTTCCAGCATGTACAAACTACCTCGAGATACATAGAACTGTTGCATATATAGTATTTACGTGGTATTTATGGGTTGTAAAACCCGTATCCTTGTTAGTAAATCTAACTTGGCTGCCTTCTTTGTTTCTTTGGATTGTGTTGCGAGGGATTTCATCTTTGGAATTCGCAACAGACTCAGAGAACCGGCGCAACTCACCAACCATGGCCACGTTCAAAATGGCGCTTTACTTGTTCTGATATATTTCGGTATTTTCGCAGGTTTCAAGATGGGAATACTTTAGCCAGTGTCCTCTAAAATTACATCCAGCCTGCTTCCGGGACAAATGCACTGATAAATGTGTTCGGTTTTATGATACCTCCAAGATATGCCTTTTAATGGTCTTGCTGGAAACTTTTCAGTCATCCACAACAAACTTTTTGCTTTACTCTGGGCACATCTGCATAGTTTCATAAACACAGTGAACCTAGAGTGCGTTCTACGAATTACCACAGGTACAACATGGGAAGTAGGAATGCCAAACTTGCCATGCGCACGTCCTCCGTAACCGGCACACTTTATTAGTGAATCTTATCGCGCCATCTAAAGACAAATTGGTCTGTGCGGCTAAGAACACTTGTGTAGCTGATGCTACGGCTGCCGCCTACTGAAATTGCTCAACAACGTGTGCCTCATTTGGCAATTTCACCCTACAATCTACCTATCAATGACAGAACTTCGGTAACGAGTGTTTGACAAGCAATATGGGCTGGCTTGCGTGGATACTGAACAGCACCCGCGGTTGTTTCGGGTGAGTGGCATAGCCCAGACCCATATAAGTGCTCATAACGACTGGTCGCCTTCCGCTTTTTCGCCCGACTTCGCATTTGTGTTGATGGCTACCTGGAGCACGTCACAAATTATATAATACGTACATATATAATCCATGCTTGTATAAACCAGAATTGTCTGCCACTGAAAGCCCTAACTTTGGATAGCCGACTTTTCATTTTCTATTTTATATCCGTCTTGTCTCAACAGGTTATTTATATCAAGTGCTCTCTTTTGCAGAATGTATATTGTGAATTTTCTGGATCCGTGCAAGCAAGAACGTAGACGAATGAGTGACAGAGCTCTTCTAATAAATTTTGTTCACATTATTATCGTTTAACTATCCTCCGGCAATATGATTTTACTGTCGGCCCATATACAAGCGGTAATGCACTGAATTCATTATATGTAAAAATGAGTGAGACGAGTAGGTTGAGGAAAACCCAACCAAAGGATGAAGTGAGTTGTCACACCAGATGCCTGTCCATGTGGGATTGCATAGAATCTGCACTTGTGGAAGGCAGTGAGCATATAATCGTTCTAGCATTTTATTCAACCACCACGTGCTATAAGTCCGAATAATTGATTCATTTGCACTTACACTGATTACGGTTCTCAACCGTCTTGAAGCACTTAGCCTGGTTAGTTCACACCAAGGAGAAGCATTGGGCTTCGCTTTCATTAAAGCCTATCAGTCAAGCCTCTGGCTGGGCCGGGAGTTGAACCTTGGGCATCGTATATGTCACTGGAACGTGAATTATCACGTATGAGCTGTGCCTCAAACTACTACCTTGTGACTGCCTTGGTTGTGCCCATCGACCAGTTTCAAAACGCTCGTCTCCAGTGTCCGAGGTCAAAACTGATAACAGCGAAGTGTATGCAGCACCAATAAGATATAATAGAAGCGAATACCGAACCGGGTGATTATCTTCTTTGGTCTTGAGTTATCCGAATAATTTGGCCAGGACGAGAGCATGGCTGCCTAAACGAAGGTGATGACGAGGCGCAACAAAAATATTTATATCAGTCTGACAAGTAAAATGATCAGTCAGATTACGTCGGTTCTTCTTTATTCTTCGAGTTACTCTACCAGTGGCTAACAGTCCTAGTAAGTTACACGTGTTTGGCTACTCTGCAGGCGTAAAAACAAGTTTTGTTCTGCAGGACCGATTAAATGTAACAAACACTGAGCTCGAATGGCTTTGTACAGCAATCTCATCAAGTCCGGAATTCCCTTATTCTTTTCTCAGTCTACATAAGTACAATGGAGCCAAGCAAGTGGAAATCTTGGAAATGGCGGGCAAGTGAGAGAACTCAATGCAACTCATGACTCGTCCCAATACAACCCTGTCTGCTAGAAGGCCATTGACAACGGATTATGGTGTCATGCATGCGGGAAAGAAGTTACAAAAGGTTACAGGAGAAGCAAAGAAGAGTCGTTATTGTTAGACATTGTACACGCTCTAGATCAAAGAATTTACAGCGATAGTTTGGCATCTGAGAGACCATTAAAGAAAACGTTACGGTGGGTATCATAAACGCACGGAATGCAAATTGATCAGCTCAACCCTTGGTATTGTGCTTCATCTGAATGCATGTTTCAGAGACTGTTAAATGAGAGAAGAACTACAAAGCAGTAAACCCAGGTTAAGGTGACACGTGAGACGAAACACAAACCGTAGTGCCTGAGAGCTATGCAATGTTTCTAAGGAAGACTCATAAGTCCCGACATTTCATAATAATGACTGATGGTGGCTGCTCCTGAGACCAACCCAAATCTTCATTCATTTGGGCTGGTAGATTTGTATAGGTCTCTGTTTAACCGTATGTACAGCCTAACTTTAAATCATTTGCAGATTTCTACTGAGATGAAAAACTCAGCATTAGCCATACCATTGACGCCCACAGAGACGGAAAACCCAACAAGGTAGCCCCGTGGGGGTGGACCCACATATACCAAGGGACAAAGTTCTGCTTACTCAGGCTTGTCAACCCAGTCTGGTGTGTGAGATCCACTTAAACAATCTGAAATCCATCTTCAGAAGGGAGCCTCAGCAAAGGCCCCATGCAGATCTTGGTAAGCATGTTAAGATAAATGAAGGAACGTAGCTAAACCGGCTTGCTACTGTCATCATATGAACAAGCACTTGAGTATACTAGGCAAATTACCGTATTCACTGTACAACGCTCTCTTTATTAGGCAAACATCTAGGAATCTTCATGCAACGGGTCATTCCTTCACTCGAAATAACTCTGTCAAACAGCTCCACAAGTGAAGAAGTACAGGCAACGTTTATGTACCCCGGTGGACCTTTCGTTCTTAACGGCAAGCCCTAATTAACTGCGCTTTCTCCAGCAGCGAGACACCAGATAAACGAAGTATTGCTGGATGAGCGAAATTTACTTGGTTGACCACCAATTTGGTTTTAAACTTAGACTCAGCTGCATCCCAGCTGAATGATAGCCTTCAATTGAATGTGCTGCACACAAGCCTCAGCTTTACCTGATACGATGCTCGAGATGCCGCAGTATAGTTCCAAGTGGAAATAACACTTAGGAACTGTGCCTTTCTGATGAGCCACAAGGAGGGCGATACCGGTCCCAGGCTACCGAAGATTTTTCAGAAATATAACTTCCTTCAGGAAGATGTGCAGTGATATTTTGAATATCAGAACAACTGAAATATGGGATGGCCTTTGTGTAGTGGTTCCAATAAAGAATATCACAGACGAGAGATTTCGCTTGGATTCAGCTGAGTCTCCTGTGGCAACCAAAGTGGTTTTCAAATGACAGTATTTGAAAATTTTCGTACAATTTAGGTTCAAGCAGAACACCATTTTGACAGACGGTCAAGGAATTCGCCTTAATGGTGAAGGAAAACCGGTCGTTGGTTGCTGAAAATTTTTAAACAACCTTGTGAGTGATATCATCACAAATCTTGAGCAACGGAGCTGGAAAGAGATCAAGATCATTCGTAATCTCAGCTTGCTTTCGATAAGCCACGTTTACACACAGGTATTTTTAACACTAAAAACGTGTGTCAACGCTTTAAAATGAAAAACGAAGTGGACTGGTTGGCTGTGCCAATGAATTTGCACTTCAGTCTAGCTGGGTCAGCACCGAGTAAATAATGTTTGTTGCTGCTGCCGCAACAGGCATAGCTCTGACGTGTATTTTGCTCCCAGTGTTCTTTTTCCCATATGCTCTTTTTCACTAGCTCCACAACCCTTGTCTGTGTTTCATTTTGCCAGACGTGTACTTCTTCCTTTTTTCTTTTTTTGTCTGTTTTCCCTTTTTTCTTTACGAAGCGGTGGTAAAATCCTGTCGGGCACTGCATAGACGCCTGTGAGAACCAAATAAAATCAAGACTGACATTGAGATAACTGACCAAGCGTTCAAAATATATTGAAGGACGTGGAGTGAAAGCACATATCTTAGCCAAGCGATGCCCCCTTGCAAACAACTCATTCGCTTAAGCACTTGTGAAGCTTCCCACAGGAAATAGCTATGTTGTCTTGGGGAGACGGCAAAAATTCAATTATCGAATGAGCCAGACATCATGCAATGGGAGCCTCTCTGAAACGAGATTGCTCAGTAAATTAGAAATCCGCGGTATACTAGCTACACACAGACTGATCGTGAATTAGAGGGTGTCAGGCATGTGCTGAATTTTGCCTTTTTATTCTGGGTTGGGGCTTGCCATGGTAGCTAATTAGGCGTCTTAGTAACCCATTAGGCTATCAAGTCCGGAAACAAGAATGGTAAACGGACAGCTTTGTAAGGTGAGAGGGACCCGTTTCTGCCAACAGTCCATTTTTTAAAGCCAGAAAAATTATGCTGAAACCACCATGTCCAGATTCTATAATTGGCCAGAAAGAGAGCTTTTGAGTAAAATTTCAGAAAAACCTGAAACTACGTGCAGTTGATTGTAAAATTTCTTGAAAAGCGTAGTCCTCTTCATCTGTTAGTTTGGAAAGTAACAAACCATTATTCACCTCGTTGTAGTTTAGCTTCAAACTTTCCACAGCACACACAAGTGTTGTTTTTCCGCACACTGTGCGTTGGTATTTTTTCATGCATTTCCGCGGACTAACAGATGAAACTGGAATAAAACCCTAGGGATGATTTGTTGCAGGACTCAAGGGGTATTCAAATGTTCCTCTGGGCGTCAGGATATTTGGAGCAACTGGCATAATCAACTCTTCCTCATGCTCCCAGCAGCTGCTGGAGTTTAAGTGTAATAAAGTTTGTACCACCAGTACTTTTTCAGCGTTCTCTATCTGGTGCTCATCCAGCTAGTCTCTCTGACAGCGAATAGTATTCAGCCAATCGTTCAGCCGTAATCGACTCTCGATACCCAGCTACCAGTCCACGCGATGGAAGCACGAGGACTGAGGAACTGTCAGGTTACTCAAGCCTAGATAGAAGCAGCCAGAAGGCTGAGGTTTGATTCGAACCGCGAAGCCCTCGATCAACAAATTCGCAACTAATCTAGTGAGCCGTTGCAGGCCGAATAGGACCAATACATACTATTGAATCGTACAAGGTCACCAAGCCCGGCCGTTGTCCAAGTGGCAGAATCGACCTAGACATAGACTGAGACTTAGCTCGTTGCCATTGCTTCCCTGATATGGACCACTATGACAACAACCAAGACCTCTTCATTTCGCACATTTCCTGGTTAGTTTTTTCCCCATTGACCGAAAACCGAATCTGTTGACTTTGAGGGCGTCCCGCCTACTTTCCCCGTGGAATGCTGGTTAGCCAGTTTCGATCGGTCGACTCTTAGGGAAGACTAACAGTGTAGTTTGAAAAGCAGTGCAACATAATTCTGCCCCCACCTTTGTGTTGTTCCTTTATTTGTTCACCAAATATTGTCAAACGCAACATTCAGGCTTCGAAATTTCATCCTCATCAAAAATATTATTTGTATTTTGAACTGATTAATCCAGACCCAACAAGGTTAGCTGGGGCATTGTAGCCAAAGGAAAGCGTCTCATTATACCCCGAAACCAGGTAAGCTGGTTTCAATTGTGACACAATGAGTTGTATTCAGGGGTATTGGTTATAATTTCATTTCGGGTTACAGTAGTCCCGATCCAGCCTGTGAGTCTTTGTTTCATGAATCCTGTTCTACACTTCACCGGTAGCTGGCACTTTTTTTAATAAACCGATTTTTTGCCCATCTTTTTAGTGTGGATAATGTCGATTGCCTGAGTACGTTTATCTTGCTTAATGGGTTTAGTTTGTGCTTTGACTCAAACCACGACAACTAAGGGTAACGTTGCTCCATCCTGGTTTGAAAACGAATCGAAAGCACCCGCTAGACCCCTCTGAGCTGTCCATTCCGTAGGACTACAAGACCTATATGCCACTCCAAAGCTTGGGATATTCATCACCTTGGTCATAAAATGTGCCATCAAATTATACTAAGAACAAAAGTTAAAGGAGACTGGCTGAACCAATCATTATTTCAGCTGACCATAAAACCCAGTGTGCACAACCCACTGCGAATGTTCCAGAACGAAACCTGTGAAGTTACACTGACACCAGAAACTTTACTACTATTATCCAATCAAAATCAGCAGCCATAGTTAACCGGGTTTGTCGCGTCACCAAGACACACGAGGCATGCGAACTTTCGAGTTGAGGAAGTATCATTAGACTAACCAGCGAACAATCGATTTACGCCATGTAAGCGTAAAGTACTTGAAGCGCTGACTAGTCAGTAATGTTCACATACATGGTGCGCAAGGTTCAAGAAGATCAATTTGAGAAGGCAATCATAAGTTACATGTAAGTTGTCTGTAAAATTCTGTTCACTTACGAGACGTGATCTCGCTGTTTTGAATAATAACACGTATGTTCGAATAATAGCTTCCTGCTAAAGTTTGCGGGGTTATGCTATGGGTAGTTGCTTCACCTTGGACCAGCAAACCGAGTGATTGCACTTGCCGTATGGTTGGGGGCCTAAGCTGAATTTTTTCTGTCTATTTGATGGCAGAATCCACATCGCGATGCTCAGACACGTTTATATGTTTCCTGTCCTTCCGAATTTAACCGGGCACGTACAAGCCCAAAACGTCAACCGAAGAAGGCAAAGATTATTCACCTTTGGTCACTGCAAGGACCAGTGCCCATAGAAGCCTGGAAGGCAGTTCAGTAGACGTAAGAAGTGGTGTGCAATTTTATGCTAGAAAGAGTCCCGAAATACAATCACATTTATAGCCAAGCAGTTGGAAGTCCCAAACCATCTGCTGGTTATTTAGGGCTTGTTACCTGAACACCGGCCAATTAGGAAGTAAATTATGGAGCTTGACTGATGACCCAGAAAACAATCGGTCGCAATCGAAGATCAGTCCTGATAAGTGGATTCTACACCACTTTTTAACACTCCCAAGAATGCGTCGTGTCACTCGGGCACAGCGGTTGATGAAGCAATTGAAAAAAGAACCGCATCTGATCTGGTAGACTACCTGATAGTATATGCAGTAAACAGTACGTTGCGTTTTTTCGGAGGCTGATCCCTGCGGTGGTCGTTGTGAGCATTAGTTGACCTGTTGCGTGAGCATGTTGCAAGGCATAAGTTCACACCTCCCCAAAATTGGTACTCACGTGAACTTACGTAACAGATTGAGATGTCTTTTCTTAACCAAATGCTTTTGGAAATTTTGTGCATATGCAGTCAGATTTGAGTCAATACTGTTACTACTGGCGTTTTCTTCGAGTTCTTCTGTTGTTTTGGTTATTCCTAACCCTGCTGGTTTCCACCAGCCTTCGCTTGAGTTATCGCCGTAAACTCCAATAATTCCAAACATTGCATAAACCTTGTTTTCCTGAGTTGTAGATATCCATCAACATGTGGTGGCCATCAGGTGAACGTCTCCTGTTCTGCTGCCGGGATCCACTGGCAATTTTAGTTTTACATAGAAACAAACGAATCTGAATTGATTATATTAGCGCAGCCATCGGAAGCCTAGGCTAAAATATGGATGGCTTTTCTGCAACATGCATGCAAAAGGAGCAAGGTGCTACTACCACCTATCTTTTTCCTGAGCAGAAGCAGTAATTTTTTATACTCTCGAATAGTATTGCGTTACTCCACATCAACTCAACAACTTCGTTTGAGAATGAGCATGATAGCACCTTCGTACTACGTGAGGGAATATGGTTTTTGATTTGTTCGCTGAGCTGGGCAATCTGATTGCAAATGTTTCGTCACAAATCTAGGTGGTTGTGGCTATGCTGACACAACGCACCGCTACATTCCACCCGCTGCCTAACAAGGCAAAGATGTCACCTTTATCAGTGATGAAGCGTTTGCAACCAAGTGGCCGGCTCAAAGAACAAACCAACCACCACCAGTGCTATATAAGCTACCAACATTCCCTTCAATAGCATAATATAATTGTCAGTATGTTTTATTGCGTTTTGATGCGACAGCTAAGCAAATATTCACCCTGCAAACTGTAAGTTCATCTTGCCTACACGTCAGAAATCTATATTTTTGCATAGATATGAAGTTTTAGCAGCACCTTATGGTCCAGGTTCTGTGCCCACAGTTGACGATGATGATGATGACGCCCACAGGAGAAACATGTACTAGGACTAACTAACTCGCCCCATGGATGGATCTTAAGTCTCACAGAACAGGAGCGTTTCCTTTCACGCCGATTCACCTTGCTTTATTTTGATTTTCAAATTTGTATCACTGTCATTTAAATGGTCTTCCTCTCCATCAAACTGTTTTGGTTAGTACCCACGGAAGCGCAAACGTTTTAGTGCTGGGGCTCACCAGCTGTTCACGTCCCCTACCGTGACGAGATTTTAAGTCCGGAAATCCACTGTGAAAGACGAGTACCTCAACAGCCCTCATCTAGCTTGCACTAGACAGTCATCTGCTCAGGCTAGAGCGATTTTAACGAACCATAAGTCGCAATGTGCCAAGCAGAATTATTCTTTAAGGAAATAACTAGCTTTGTAAAAGTGTGAAAAAAACGTGACAAAAGCTCGGTCAATCACCGATAAATCGCATCCCAAATCCAAATAGGAATTAATGGCCATGACACTCAAATATCAGACAACGCGCTTATTGAGGGAAGTTTTTATCCAGTATAAGAGATAAACTCTTTTAAAGGGGATATATTTAGACGTCAACCTTTTTAGAAGACAGTGGGTCTTTCATTTTTCAGGATTCGTACAAATCCGTATCAGCTAATCAGGGCGGTTAACATTTCAGGAAAAGTGAAAGGTTAGAAAACAGCATTAAAACCCGGTTTGTACTGTTCTGGAAAAAAACAATATGTCGCGCCGCGTACCTTTTAAGGAAATTTGCGCATTCGGGAAAGTATACTTTGTGGGACACTTGAGTAAGAACAAGTGCTAATTGGTATGTGTTTTCGTGTGCGCAATTTTCACGTGTTTTTCTGCCATTTTGCAGACAAAATTTTTATTACTGTCCTGAATATTCTCGCTTCTCATTTAACTCATCAAAGGATGCGCGGAAGATGACTTTTCGGCTATTCCTATTCAGATTCAACCCAAACTGGTCGCTCGACATCAGCTGACCCACGGAATCAAGAGGGTATCAAATAGGCGCAAGCTTTGAAAGGCTTGATCAAAAGCATCTCCCACAACGATTAAACATTTCCAGAATCTTGGTGGGTGTGATTCCCTTTTTATCCGAAAATGCATTTAAAGCCAGAGCACAGTGCTCATCTGAATTGCCAGCGCTCTACAACCCCATTTCTTCCTCAGTAAACTTTTCATGAGGAAGGCTGAATGGTCTATAACGAAAACAAGACCAAAACAAATGTTTCTTCGAAGGTTTCCGAACTTCGTGTGTGCTCACAAATTTTTAGACAGGTTCAAAACAAGACTGAGTTCATTCATGAAGCTATAACGAGAAAATTATTCAACCAAAGCTTGCAGTAGAGCTCTGACTGTGTAAAACTAAAACAGATGCCCTCTAGCGGTTTTGTACTGATGAGGAGAATGAGCCCTTAAAGGCATTTTACCGGAGTATACTGGGTAGATTTCTTTAATACTAACATGTAACATACTGTTGTCAGCCTGGAAAACAGTATCCCAAACAAGAACCTTCTCATCAGTTAGCCCACGGTCTTATCTTGCCCCGACACTAATGCCCGAGTTGAATCCCAAAGACAGGATACCTTTCCATGCTCAAACTTTGGCTAAGGTCTTACTTTCCGTTCGCTGTATGACGTAACAAATTGTCACACCCCTACCTAAGCATAGCACGCGATAGAATAAAGGCAGTTATTGGTAATATCAGAAGTCCATCACTCACTGGCACCAGTCATTTAGCCGGTCCAAAATATTTTTCATAAAGTACCTATTGGACCACAGTGTCAACGTAACTGCAAACCTGACATCGGCTGACGAGTTCCGATAGGGCTACCCAGCTCAGTCATCTGCTGTCGTACGGGCTTTAAGTATTTATCGGTCATGTAAACCAACAACAATCAAGCCTTTCAAAACCAGCTATTTTGATATTTAGGGATTTTGACGGAAAGCAAAGAGACCCAAAGATTCCTTCAATGTTGGGAAACCTGTGGTCACTTACACTAAAATTCCAGTCTGCTTCACCAGTTCGATACCTGCTTGGTCTAGTTCTGTACAAATCCCTTCATTTAGCCGGACTATTTGAGTCCATTGGGGGTTTTTTGTCGTGCAGTCGGCGACTTCTCTTTGAAAATGCGAAGATCCAAGATTGCCTTTTTCTGTCACATACCTAAGTATGCCTCCTCGGTTGTACACTAAAAGGCAATGCCCCCGATATCAAAGACTTCTTACTGCGCGACATTCACAAAGGTATATGAAGGGATACAGGTGCCTCAGGATGACATTTTCTGAGTTCTTCTCGCTATCCACTTTCTACACATCCATTTGAAAGATCTTTGTGACCACATTGCAATGATAAAATGCTGGCTTTTATGTATTCCGTAATTGAAGGGGAGGACGTTTCTCTCGAAAGTCCTCCTGAATGTAATAAA